TCTCTCTCCCCTGATTAAATAAATCTAAATCAGGTCTCTCTCTTTCTGATCCCTTTGCCTGCTGGTTATTTGGTGGTTTCTAAATTAGCATATTTATTCATTCACTAGGCAATTAGGTTTTACACAGGCTGATTATTTTCATGACTGGTTAACTACAAGCATTGTGTCTCCACTGTAAAATGGAAAATCCTAGTTCAATGAGTTCTTTTGTCAAGATTAAAAAATATTGGATTTTTTAGTATTGTAAGTAAATATGTTATAGTCTGATACCCCTGTATATTTATGCCAAATTGTTAAGTAAGCATAAGGTATGAGGAACTTTGTTGGAATCAATATAGTTAAATAAACTTTATCCATACCTCCTATTAAATTGGCATGCATTGTGTATATCTCGTTATTTAATTGATCTCAGACATCAATGATTGGTCTCGTTAGGAGGATATTGGACTTACAGTAGTAGTGTCAATCATGTGTGATGTTATGAGCTTACGAGACTAATTATTTTTATCGCAATGGGGCACTTGTGGATTGGAACATATGGTGAGAATAATACTTAGGATTTTAATGACATCTAATTGTTTGTTCATTGAGAATCTTTCATATTTTTTTTCTCTGATTGGTTTCTCCTCTGCCTGGGGTTTTCTGGGGATGGGTAATTGACATTTTTAATGAATCATAGCTGACAGGTCAAATCAGACTACGGATCAGGATGTATTAACTCATCTTCTAAGGAGTCTTGCTAGTCAGAATGTTGAACAAGGGGGCAAGATCTTGTCTAACCTTTTGCAGGTACCAGAGAATTTGTCGAAAGAAGGGGGTTCATCTGGGAAGTCAGAGATGGTTTCAACATTATTCTCCAATGGTACTCAAGGCTCTCCAACTGCTATAAGGCAACATCAAACGTTATCTATGAGTACAATGCAACAACAAGTGATGCTTACACGTGATGTTAGGGTTATTGATCACCAAGCTATATCATCTACTAAGCCCAGCATTACAAACAGCCCTCCATCTTCCTCAGAAGCCAGGGACAGTTCTGCTGGACAGGTTAAGATGAATAATTTTGATTTGAATGACATATATATTGACTCAGATGACAGCACAGAAGATCTAGAAAGATTGCCCATCTCTACAAATCAAGGGACTAGCTCTCTTGACTACCCGTGGGCACACCAAGTTTCTCATCAATTAAGTCCACCTCAAACAAGTAGAAATTCAGATTCTGCATCTGCCCATTCCCTTTCTAGTTCTAGTGGAGAAGCACAGGTATTTATATTTTGCTGTATTATTTTGACTTGGCTATTCTAATTGTTCATTCCTATACAGTCTTTTTACTCAACTCATGCAACTGAACAACCCAAAAGCAATAAATATTTAATTATATTTGTTATATATTGATATTGTCATAATTTAACTGCTACTTTTTTGTTTCCACCAATAGAGCCGCACAGATCGAATTGTTTTTAAACTCTTTGGTAAAGAGCCAAATGATTTTCCTCTTGTACTTAGAGCACAGGTACTTTATCTAAGACAACTAAGAGTAAATGATTTTCATTTCTTTCTTTTAAAATTTAATCACACTAAGGGTTTCAAATTTATTGCCAGATTCTTGACTGGTTATCCCACAGTCCTACTGATATAGAGAGCTATATACGGCCTGGTTGTATTGTTTTGACCATTTATCTGCGCCAGGACGAGGCTGTGTGGGATGAAGTAAGTTATTTCCTTCTAAAATTATTAACATGTATACCTGGGTGGTTATTTCTGTTCATAGGGACACTCCTGACCTTACATGACTTGGTTGCTTTTTTGTAGCTTTGCTACAATCTGAGTTCCAATTTGAATAGGCTGCTGAATGTCTCAGAGGATTCTTTTTGGAGAACCGGATGGGTTCACATCAGGGTGCAGCATCAAATAGCCTTCATTTTCAATGGTCTCTTGGCATGTCCTTTTTGTTAACTTGTTATTAGGGTTGAAGATAATAGGGGAGAGAAATTTATTTCATTAATCAATTGGGTTCATCAAATAAGTACATTAATGTCTAATAGTTTAAATTATTTGCTGTCACAAGTTGTCTATGTCAAAGACTTGTATCTACATCTAATTTGTGTCTTTGCCACATGTATAACTTTGGTTGATGCAGTTGATTGAGTATTAGTGTAACTTTATTAGGCTTCTAGTGTTGTCTACTTGACTATATTGTCGTCATTGTTATTATTGTTATTGTGGCTTGTGTGTGAAGTAAGTTTATCATTCAGGGTTAATAAAATTTATTTATTTGACTGGGTATCATATTGTAATTTTTGTACTGCAGGTCAAGTTGTCATAGATAAATCCCTAACTTTCAAAGGTAACAATTATAGCAAGATTTTGAGTGTCAGTCCAGTTGCTGTACCAGCATCGAAACAAGCTCAATTTTCTGTTAAGGGTGTCAACCTTATAGGCTCTGCCACTAGGTAATCTCTATTGCTCTGTGCATTTGAATCCTTTGCATGTTGGTAAACTTTAGAAGTGACTTGAATGGTTGGACCTACTCTACTTCCATTACTTTGTTTAAATATATGTATTTTGTTGTTGGGCTAGCATGTTATATGACCCTTAAACATACTCTCAGGTTAATATGTGCTTTAGAAGGGAAATATCTTCTCTGTGAAGATGCTCATGAGTCAATCGATCAACACTCTAAGGAGCTTGATGAGATCCAGTGCATCCAGTTTTCATGTTCTGTCCCTGTGATGAATGGAAGAGGATTTATTGAGGTACTTTTTTTTCCTCTCACAAATTATCAACAAAAAAAGTAGACAGAGAATACAGGTTAGTTGTTTTCAATAAAGGGGATAAGAAAATTCCTCTAATTTCCATTTTTACCTATGTGGATACAATTCTATACACAATGGTCATTGTTGAGTGTTAGCAATATTGTAACTCATGAACTGTATCATTTCAAAAGACAAAAACCTTACTGACAATTGTATGCGGACATTTACAATTCTCCGAAACTTCTAACTGAAGATGAGCAATGCTGCACTAGTGATATGGGGCTGAACTTTATGTTTTCTACCTTTTTTAATTTGCCAGATTGAGGACCAGGGTTTGAGTAGCAGTTTTTTTCCTTTTATAGTGGTCGAGGAGGATGTTTGCTCAGAAATCTGTTTGCTTGAGCCTCTATTAGAATTCAGTGAAACTGATCCAGATACTAATGGGACGGGAAAAATTGAAGCCAAAAGTCAAGCCATGGATTTCATTCATGAAATTGGTTGGCTTCTTCACAGAAACCAAATGAAATCTAGGATGGTTCACTTGAACTCAAGTGCAGAACTCTTTCCATTAAAACGGTTCAAGTGGCTCATGGAGTTCTCTATGGATCATGATTGGTGTGCAGTGGTGAAAAAGCTATTGAACCTGATGCTTGACGGAACTGTGAGTTCAGGAGATCACCCTTCCTTGTATCTTGCACTTTCAGAGATGACCCTCCTTCACAGAGCTGTAAGGAGAAATAGCAAGCAGTTAGTAGAGTTGCTTTTGAGGTATGTTCCTGATAAATTTGGAACTGAAGACAAGGCATTACTTGGTGGAGAGAATAAGAGCTTCTTTTTTAAACCTGATGTTGCTGGTCCCGCTGGTTTAACACCTCTCCATATAGCAGCTGGGAAAGATGGTTCTGAGGATGTACTGGATGCTTTAACTAATGATCCTTGCATGGTAAATTTTCTGCCATTTTAAATAACATCACTGTGAGAATAGATTCCCTTCAACATGTCGAGATTTCCTTATAGTTTTTCATCACTACATCACTATTTTGTTGTCCACTTCACTTTTTGGATTAGTATTTGGGTATTGTGAGAATGACCATAATGATGAACCCCCATCCCCTGGTGGATGGGAAGAAAAAAGTCTTGCTTCAACATTATTTTCATATATTGCCTGTCTAGTTGGAAATTCTGGAGCGTCATCTGTTCAGTATAGTCTTGCATTGGTTTTTTTTATGGCGAAATGTTTTTTTTATGCAGGTGGGAATCAAAGCGTGGAAGAGTGCTCGTGACAGCACAGGCTCCACACCTGAGGATTATGCACGATTGCGTGGCCATTATACTTACATTCACTTAGTGCAGAAGAAAATTAATAAGAAACAAGGAGCACCACATGTGGTGGTTAATATTCCCAGCACTGTGACAGAAAGCACTACAAACCAGAAGCAAAATGAGTCATCAACAACCTTCGAGATCGGAAAGGCTCAAGTAAAACGTGGCCAAGGTCTCTGCAAAGTTTGTGATACTAAATTGTCTTGTAGAACTGCAGTAGGCAGGTCTTTGGTATATAGACCTGCAATGCTCTCAATGGTGGCCATTGCTGCAGTCTGCGTTTGTGTGGCCCTTCTGTTTAAGAGTTCGCCAGAAGTTTTATATGTATTCCAACCCTTCAGGTGGGAGTCATTGGAATTTGGTACGAGCTAAGGTTCATTAACTTCAAACATAAGAAAAACTTGATAGCTCATATAAGGATGCAATATACTGAATGACTGAGATTTCCTGTAGGACTAGTTCTTTCTATGATTGGCTAATTTGTGCAATATTATTTACATATTTATTATCCTTCAATGGACTTCCTTATGTAATGTGTTGGATATTGACTCTTCTGAAACTCAATTTGGTAGAATCCTTTATATTTCAGTGTAATATTTTACCTGTATTTGAATATTAAGCCTTTATATTTGAATAATAAGAGTCTGTTTTTTATTAAATGTTAAGATCATATAAGTAGTAATTATATCAAATGCCGATATGTGATTTCAGTCTGTATTTCAGTTGTTTCACTAGTGACCATACAAAATCATGTTAATCACCTAATTGAACACTGGATGGAACTTTACTTATAGTTGTATTTGACATATTCATTTTAGCTCTATAATATACTAGTGTTTCTAGAAGTGTATGCGCAACGTGAAATTTCAATTTGGAATGTTCTCTTCTTTTAAAATGTTAGGTTTCCCCTCATTCTCAGACAGAAGCTTATCGTCCTGAATCAATACTAACTAAAACAATCAATTTAGTACTTGAAAGTTACTCATAATTAAAAAGAGAACCTTGTGGTGCACGGCAATTGCGGTGAACGTGGATCGAACACGTGACCTTCAGATCTTCAGTCTGACGCTCTCCCAACTGAGCTATCCCCGCTTATTGGGAATTCAATTGACATAATCATATATATTTTTATGTCTAATTTTGACAGTGACGTGTTAGAATAGAAATAGGACGAAAGTGTTCGTTATCTTGTTCTTCGTTTCTCTCAGTTTCACCTAAAAATGGGAGGAAGCTCCAATTTCAAGGACGAGTATACCTTTGGTTAGTACCATTCCCGATTGTTTTCACCTAATAACTTTTGTAACCTAATTTTTTAATCATATACTTTGTCCTTATTTATTTATTTATTTATTATAATTATTGTTTTTGTGTTGATCTTATTGTGTGGCATGTGCGCAGAACAAAGGCTTGATGAATCGCGCGATATTGTGGCCAAATACCCCGATCGAGTTCCCGTAAGGCCTTCATATATTGTTGATCATGCTTTTTCTTTAAATTATCACTTTAATTAAATCAATATTAGTTTTCTAAATATATATATACGGTTTAGGGATAGATCTGATAGATTTATGTTGTTATTGTTGTTGTTGTTCAGGTGATTGTGGAAAGATATGTGAAATGCGACCTGCCTGAGTTGGAGAAGAAAAAGTAAGATCACATGCCAACAATTTACAAACTTAACTTACTTTATCATCTTCTTGTATTTACATTTTTATTTGAATCATGTTACAAGCACAAATTGAATTAGGATTAGATATGGTTACAATTCATATACATCTAACTGTATTGGTATTTCAGCTACACATTCAGTAACTTGTTCATCTTATCTTAGTTTCTCAAGTATCGTTCATAAATGTTGTGTAGTTATCTTTTGGGTTTTTAGAATTTAAGCAATAAAAGCTATAATTTCTAGGCTGTTTTTTCTAAACAGCTGTTTTTTTCCCACAAGGTAGGTTGAGATTATGTGGATCAAATAACATTGTGTTCTATCAAAATCCAAATCTTTTGATAAGGCATTTAACTCTAAATCCTTCCTCACGGTTTCGCCTAGAGTTTTTCTTACTCTTCCTCTCCTTCTGATCACGAAACCGTCTTCCGTTTGATCAACTAACTGAGGTTTCTATTGATCTTTTTCTCACATGGTCAAACCATCTTAGGCTTGTTTTTCCCTTAACATGTGCCACTTCTTCTTAGCACGGACATTAATTCTTGGTCTTACCTTTTTCTTGTATCTCCACTGGTCTAATATAACATTCTAGTCTCAGCCACACTCTGATTATGCTCTTCTTGGCTCTTTGCAGTCCAACATTCATCATCACACATAGAATATCATTGGTCTTATGTAAGGGCCGTAGACCTTTACTTGTAGATTGATAGGTAATTTTTTTCTATGACAAATAACACTTGAAACATTCATTATTTCTACCACTCAGCTTAAATTCTATGATTTCACATCTCCCTATATTTCTCCACAACTTTGTATGGTAGATCAAGGTACCTAAACTTTGTGATTGGAATCGGGCGATCCCTACTTTTAACTTCTAAAATGAGGTTTTTTTATTTAAACACAAATGATAGTAGGGAAAATTTAAATGTAGTAAACTGCCAATATCTTTCCTGGTTAGTCCACTCCTTTGAAGCATTATGTTTTGGTTCGTCCTCTACGTTTTTCCCCTTTGGAAAATGAATGGGAATGAATGAAATTCAGTCCAGAGTAAGTTGAAGTGGTGTAGAATAGTGTTTTGACATGTATTACCCTTAATTAGATCAAATAACTCAGTTTACTATCTCTTTGATACGTGTTATTTGCTTTATATTTCTGATAGATACCTTGTTCCCCGAGACGTGTCTGTTGGGCATTTCATTCATATTTTGAGTTCCAGACTTACTCTGCCTCCTGGAAAAGCTCTGTTTGTATTTGTGAAGAATACCTTGCCTCAAACTGGTAAACATGCATTATAAGCCAATGATTTATTTCTTTGCTTCTTCTTCCATTTTGTTGTTATATTGCTCAAATTTGTTGTGTTTGCCATTATCTGCAGCTAGCATGATGGACTCTGTTTATGAATCATTCAAGGATGGGGATGGATTTCTGTACATGTACTATAGCACTGAGAAAACCTTTGGCTAAGTACATTACTGTAAACTAGAAGCTATTAAACTATGTACATTACTGTAAACTACTAAACTCAACCCAATTCGGAAGCTATTAAACTCTGTACACTGTTGTATATAGCACTGACATTGTGAAATACTTCTAGTATTGGATTCCTCGCACCGATTTGTTGCTTGGTTTGAACGTTTCACAATGTTATATTCTGATTAGCCTTACTGAACATTTGTTTATTGCATGAGTTTAATATTTGTTCACTTTAATTTAAACTTTTGACATTCTTAATGTCATACATGGTGGGACTTAATGCATGAGATTCACACCTTGTGAGGCCTCGGGATGATAAATGTATGTAGTCATATACTATAATTAGAGAGATTGAATATATAAACTCTAAGTGACAAGGCAATGCTACTAATGCGTCCACTTCATCCTCATTTTCGAATAAATGCAGTAAACTGACTAAAGAAAAGAAAAATACCTTAACTTGAATTTAGTACCACCTAAAAAGTTGCTAAGCTAAACAAATAAGTGAATGTTGAGGTAAAATAACAAATCAATGATGTATTCACCCTTGCTTACTTGCTTAGAACTTAAAAGGCAATCACATAATGAGATGGGTGCAATGAATAAAGGTGATAAGCAAAAATCAAGTCCAGGATATTTGATTAAAAAAAATATAATATCTATGAGTTTAGAATGAAGATCTTCTATACCACAATTTATCTATCTCTCTATATCAAACCAATGTAATCATGTCAACTAATAGTAATTATTGTTTCTTGATAGATGATAAAAAAATTATTAGCATAATCTTATTAGTTGGCATGATTTCATTAGCTTAATATAGAGAGATAGAGAAATAGTGGTATAGAAGATCTTCACTCATGAGTTTATTGGTTGATGTTATCATCTAAAAAATTTGTGTAGGGTAGGTAAGCAATGCTGGCTTGTGCATGGTTGCCTGGTCCTTTCCTCCTTAACTTATAAAGGAATGGCACCACTTAAACAATCAATTAAAGTTTAACAAATTGTAGGAATATATATGAAGCTGTCAAATAGTAGAAAAATTCTCCCTCGGCTCAACTTGGTGTAGGTAGCATCCAATAGTCATTACTCTTTCCAAACATTCAATAAACTTACCTTCAAAAAACAAAATAAGTGTTGCCATTTCTTAAGAAAATAACCAAAATAAGTGTTCAAAGGCAGACAACTTCAACTATATACTGCCAATTATCTCAGGCTACAGACACGTTTTGATAGCCAAAAAGTAAAACCTACCAACACCTTCACAATTGTCTCTTCATATTTCCCAACCTATAAATGTATTCACAAATGCTCTAGTTCTCTCCACCTCACCTTAATTACTAGCCAACATTTATACTAAAACATCACTTTTTTCCTTCTCCTTTCACTACTTTTCTGGATCATTAAATACCAAATATTACACTCTCCTAATCTTAGTTCTGTTTAATAGCAATGGGTAGTAGTACTATATACATGCATGTAATGTTCTCTACCTTGGTTCTAATTCTCTCACTTTCATCATCGACCTCAGCATCTTTGAAGGTGGGTTTCTATAAAACTTCATGTCCATCTGCTGAGGCAATAGTGAGAAAAGCTGTTAATAAAGCCGTTTCTCTCAACCCGGGCATGGCTGGTGGCTTGATTAGAATGCATTTTCATGATTGCTTTGTGAGGGTAAGTTCATGTTCATAATTTCAATATACATCTAATTGTTTTAAATTGCAATTATGTTACATGTAATTGTGACCGCAATATAGTTATAAAGACTTTAAACACATTGCTTATACTAGTTCAACTCATTCATTAGCAAGCATATATATAAAATCGTTGTGTCCTTGTTAAACAGGGTTGTGATAGTTCTGTACTACTAGAATCCACACCAGGAAACCCAGCCGAAAGAGATCACCCGGCCAACTATCCAAGTTTGCGTGGCTTCGAGGTGATAGAAGAAACTAAGGCTCAACTAGAAGCATCATGTCCTAACACCGTGTCCTGTGCAGACATTGTTGCTTTCGCGGCACGAGACAGCGCTACCAAACTTGGTGGCATAAACTACAATGTTCCATCAGGACGCAGAGATGGTCGAATATCAATTAAAGACGAAGTAGTAGGAAATCTTCCACCACCAACCTTCAATGCTGATCAACTTATTACTATATTTGCTCAAAAAGGGTTATCATTAGATGAAATGGTAACACTTTCAGGAGCACATTCTATTGGTGCATCACATTGTTCTTCATTCTCCAACCGCTTATATTCTTTTAATGCTACACATCCTCAAGATCCCTCTATGGATCCTAAGTTTGTTACATTGTTGAAAACAAAGTGTCCATCAAAATCAAGCAATGCTGATAGTATAGATCCAACAGTGGCCCTTGATGCTTCCACACCGAACCGTTTGGATAATAAGTACTACAAGGAAGTGAAGAACAACCGTGGTTTATTGACCTCAGATCAGACATTGTTAAGCAATGGTTTGACAAGGCAAAAGGTGCTAACCAATGCCAAATATGGTTCAAGTTGGACAATAAAGTTTGCTAAAGCAATGGTGCATATGGGTTCTATACAAGTGCTAACTGGCTCTGAAGGAGAGATTAGGAAGCATTGTGGCGTTGTTAATTCAATGTAGTTGCACTCTTTTACTACAAATACACGAGTCAATTTGTGCAGCATAAATGTAAAGATATGCTGTGGATTTTTTATTTGTTTTTTTTCTCTGAACAAAAATATGTTTGGTTCATTTTTTAACCTATATTTTAGAATAATTCTTTTAGCTTTGAGTTATAAATGGAAGCCGTGGAGAAAGTAATAAGCTACTTTGTTTGAATTGAGTTGAATCCTTTAAAAGTTTGAGTACTGTAATTTTGTTTTTTATCTTCACACATATTTTAAAAACTCATTTAAAATTTAATGGACAATTAAAAGTTTGCCTTATAGTCAAAATAACAACTTTTTG